CAATTGCCTCCCATATGCACCCCAAACGGGGAGCAAACCCACAGCCTAGGTATGTACCCTGACTGGGAATCAAACTTGCAACCTTTTTGGTGTACAGGATAATGCTCCAACCAACTGAACCACCTAGTGTGGACTGGGCTATTCTTTGATAAACAATCACAAACTAGTCTTAGTGCACTCTGGATATTATCTTGGGACTTTCTCTTGTTTTTCTCTTTTCACCCAAGGAATGGATGCATTTGCCTTAAGAGATAAATGAAAAAAAAATCAATATTCATTACAAAGTACCTCAGACTTTAGAACACACATCTTTAAGTTCTTAAAATCAACTCTCCATCTAATTAAACTATATAACACTGCACAAAATGGATGAAAAAATACATATATAAACTGAATAACTTTAATGTACTCAGGGTATTAACTATCCATTACTGTTGGCCTAATCACCCATTTCAGAGCACACCATCTGCTGAAAGCATTTAATATTCTCTTATTTCAGAAAGTACAGCTTGATGTTGATCAGACCAAACCTTTCCACAAATAACGTTCTTAACATTTGATATTTGTGCATGTCAGCCACTGTCTGGCACATCAGAATGATGCACAAATTCTGGAACAAGCAGTTACTGCTCATGAATTCACAGCTATTTCCTCACTTCAGCTGAGAGAAGAGATCTTAACGAGACTGCCATAATATGAATATGCAGAGGAAAAATTAAAAGCAAATGTACATGATAAAATTTCAGGATGGAAAATGGCACATTATAAAGCAAATGAGAAAATGAGCCTCTAATAGTTTATAAATAATAAAAATTTAGTTTAGTTATTCTTCCTTGCAACCAAAACACCAGCCAAATAACAGTTCTCTGCTGAATTTCCTGTACGGTCAATAGTCAAAAATGCTTAATGAACTTAGTTAAATATACGTTACAGAAAAATGGAGTTCAAGCTAAGAAAATTCAGACCAAACAAAAGTGAAAGGAGAAAAATAAGAAACCACCCAGGAAGCTTTTAAAAAATACCAATGCCTGAAGCTGACACTCCAGTCACTATAGGTAGAACCCAGGCATCTATACATTTCAAAGTTCCTTAGGGGGCTCTAATGTGCTACAGGAGTAAGAGTCACGGGCCTAAGGTTTTACTACTTGGCATATGCTCTTCATTTAATTACAGTAATCAAACGTACTGCATTGTTCTTCCAATTTTCCCCATCCTGAAAGGCACTGGGAGTTGCAACCCCACTTAAATATCTCCATTTAATCTTGTTTAAGCCACAAAACTAAAGAAGGGTCCAGTTAAGCAACAGAAACTTTATTAGCTCCACACAACCTAATCTAGCGTATCTCAAAGCACAGTCAATAGACCATCTGTACATCCACATCTCTTATTAAAATGCAGGTTTGCAGGCACGTTCCAGACATACATATCAAGCACTGATATGTATGGCATTATTTTATTGAACAGGGCAATGAGGTTTAAATCTCTTACATTCTTTCCCCTGCATCTGCATGTGGCTTACTCTCATTGGAATGCTTTTCCTTTAGAATAATTCTTTGGTTCTGCTTTAGCCCTATACTGTCCACAGTAGAACTGATATGATGAACTTGGTGCCTTGTGGCTTGGGAACACACAGGCCTTTGCCTCCCAAATAGGCCACTCAAGAACCACCCGCTAGTGTAGCCCAAGGAGTTCCTTGCAGCTCATATGTGGTACCATAAAGCTCCCAGGAGCTCAAGCAGTATTTCTCGAGTGCGATCCACAAATGACTAATGTTCATATCATTGACTAACCAGACAAGCATGCTGATTCTGGATCTTACACAAAACCTACTGAATGAATGAGACTCTCTGGCAAGAGCACTTAAGAAGCCACACTTTTAACAAGCTCCCCAGGTGATTCTTATGCACAGGAAGTTTAATACCACTGAGGTCCAGGGTCACCAAAGAGAAAACCCTCTCTAGAGATCCTTCAGGAAATTCACAGGGATCAAGGAAGCCATTGGCTAATATTTCGGGTCCTCACATCTCCCTCTCTCTTCACTCCCATACTGGCATGAGTTAGGCAGTTCAGCACACTCTCACTTAAAATGACCACATATTCTCTTTTTCTATAATTCAAGTTAGACACCTCTTAGGATAAAAAGGAGTGAGGAATACTTAAATCCCAACAGTTTACCAGTAGAGTCCTTAATATCATTAAAAACACAGATTAGTTCATTCCCAGAAAGCTTAAAATTATGTTTCATGCCACTTCCATTTTAAATTAATCCTACAGCATAACCAGGGAACACCTCTCAGCGGAGTTCTAAGCTTCTCATATCTTTTTTTATGCATTCAAACAGCTCATCTGTTGCCTCTCCAGGGCTGGGTGATATGCTAACCAACATGTGGCAAAGAAGGCTCTAAACAGCATGACAATTTTATGCTTGACTCAGGTAATCACAGCTCTCTTGAGGGGAATCTGCTCTTCCGTCTCACCTCTCCTCCATTTCTGTCATCCACAATCCCCGCTGGAGGAACTTAAGGCTCTTACACACTCGATTACACTCTACTGATTTATAGTGCCAGGCAGCCATTCACATGAGGACTCTCCATAAACACTACTGGATTATGCCAACTCAGGTGATTGATTCTGGACCTCTTAATGTGCTACCAATCTGAAGATAAACCTTAAGTATCCACTATGATATCAGCTCCTCCAACTAGGCTCCCTATCCATACCTAGCATCTGTTATCTTTCAAAAACAAGACTGCAGTTAGAAGAACCAACGACAGGGGAATATAAATTATAAATAGAAAAATCAGTGAAACATTACAGATGACTGAAGGTCTAGCACTCTCAGCCAGCGAGGACAATCAGTATGAAAATGAGAGTAATTCTTCTGCATGACAGAAAATTTCCCTTTACCATCATCTAAACAAGGCTCCTTAAACTTTAAGGTGCCTCTAAGTTACCTGCTAAATATTACCAGAATGCGGGCTCTGATTCAGGCAGTCAGAGATGGGATCCAAGATTCTGCATTCCCACCAAGTCCCCAGGCACTGCTGATGATGCTCATAGCTCTGCTACTTACAGTGTGGCAGGGGACCAGCAGCATCAGCAGCACCTGAGAGCTTGTCAGAGAAGACTCTGGAGCCTACCCTGGCCATAAGAAAAGAAAATCTGCCATTCAACAAGGTCCCAGGCAATGAGGATGCACATTAACGAGCAGCTAACATACCATCTTGTGCTCACTGTGATTCAGAATCACCTGGGCCTTTTTAAAAATACCAATGCCTGGGTCTCATGGCAGAGATTCTGACTCAGTCAGTCGGGGTGTGTGACTTCGGTCTGTTCTACACCCAAATAGTTCTAATGAGCAGCCAGGGGTAAGAACCAGTGAATCAAATGAAAAACACCCCACTGGGTGGAGGGACATGTGGAGAAACAGCTAATGAGTGAGGAATTTCTTTTTTGGAATGATAAAAATGTCCTAGAATTCATTATGATGATGGTTGCATAATTTTATGAATATACTAAAAACCATGGGAACTGTATACTTTAAATGGGTCAATTTGTGTCATAAAACTGTTATATTAAAAAAATTAAAAACTTCAATAGCTTTCCTATCTTAAAATAAATATATAAATAACCCCCAGTTAACAATAATGAAATGAAATCTAATAATGAAATTAAATCATTTTCTATCCTGGAATTCTGACCCAAGAATTTGAACTTCTTTTTAAAAAGAGAAAAAACACAGATGTTCATATGACTCATCTAGAAATATTAAGATCTGCTCATCTACTCCTTAGGTTCAATTCTGGTCAAGATAATGGATCAAACCTGAAACGAAACCTCGTACCTCAGGAAGCACCACTATGTTTAAAAAAAAAAAAAAAGGGCATATTTATCAGTTTATCAGTTTGGAAAAGTTTATTCTGCACACCCTATTTCCTCAGTATTTTCAAGTATCACATAATTTTCCTTTTGCTTCCCATTTAAAAATAAATCAATGAGTTAACAAATAAGTAGATGAATTTATTAACTTATTGTACTACAATCTTCCAACTTTTCTGTGTGTTTGAAGACATTCAAAAAACATGTTAAGAAAAAAATGCATAAACTGGAAATCTGAACCTTGTTTAAAAAAATGGCTTCAAAAACTCTCAATATTGTACTTATAAAAATAAAATAGATCATAAATAGCACTAAAATTTCAGGAAAGATCATTGTAATATATAAGACACTGTTGACTTGTTTGCAAAAGGAAAGCACTATAAATATACAAAATTAAGCACCACTCAACATTTTGGAGACTCTCACAGCTTCTGATTTCTGTGATAAATCACCATTTCTGTGGTGTCAAATAATCAAAACTGCAGGTGCTATATGCTCAAGCCAATGAGGATTCTCAAGTGTCTGATTTACTTTTCCTGTTGAATTGTCAAAGCCTGGGTAAGCCATTTTCCACCAAAAACCAGTATCCTTGTTTATAGTCCCATGATCTCACTCTTTTGAAGCAGGCATTTCTGGATGTATCACTAAACAGAGTTCCTAAGACAATATACATTGCTTACTGGCATCCTCTGGGGTTCTCTGCTCATTGGATGGGAGCGCCTCTCTTAAGAAAAGGCTTTCTAGGACCTTCAAGGCAAAGGTTAAGGTCACCTTCACAAGTATGATGCCATTCTTTGTCCACAACTCCCCCATAAAATCCAATGCATTTCACTTTAATTGTTGCTGTGCGGTTTTTCTTTTTAAAATAATTCTACCATGTTATATTCTATAGATGACAAAGAAAAGGCAAATCATGCCTCCTAACTACTGATCTTTCCCTGGGTATTAATCCTTTGCTAGTCTCTTATTTTTTACAGTGAGAAAGTTTATGCTCCTGCTTTAAGTACATTTGCTCAATCTCTGAAATAACTAATCTTAATGGATTACCATGTCTCAGTTCATAACTTAACAATTCACACAATAAAAAAACATGTTTTTTAAAGAAAGGGGAAAAGGCTTACCTAATAGAATATATATTCTCAATATTCTTCTCCCCAGCTTGTCCTTCCTTAACAGCTTGCATCTGTAATAATTTCATAATGGCTTTTATCAAGCCATGTGTATTCCTGTAAAAAAAAAAAAAGTTAAATGTTATAGACATAAAGCAAATAGTCTAATGAAGTGCTTAATTCTACCATTTTTAAATAATTGAACATTTGCCACCCATACTGAATACTAGCCATCCAGCTCATTCTACAGCACAGCCAAGAAGAGGCCTACAAGCAGAGAGCTCCCAAAAAGGAATAGAGCTGAAAAATCAAATCCCCAACTTATCAATCACCTAACTACACACACTTGGGGAAAAATCAATCAGGAAAAAACAAACTTGAACCCACATAACTGCAGGCAGTGACCACACCAGTTACCCTTACTGAATAATCAAGTCCTTCATTTATAAATGTTAGCAAACCATGAGTTATTAGTACAGACATATGAATAAAAAGACATATGAAATAAATCAGCCATTCAAAAAAGTAGGTCAGGGGCTAACCAGAACAAATAACCCCCATTGAAACAAAGTTAATGTGAGTGGAGAATAAAACTTTAAATTTTTTCCTTATTCCTGTAAGAAGCAGGAGGATAATACATCAAAAAGAAGAACAGCCTACACTTTTTGTTTTATTTTTTCCTTATGATTAATTTTTCAAATTGCACAATGGCATTTTTCCAGTTCTTTTACTGAGGTAAAATTAACAAATACGATTATAACATATTTAAAGTGTACAGGGTGATAAATGTACTGTACCTTGTGAAATGATTGGCATAATTAAGTTAATTAATACATCATGACTCACTGGGCTACTTTTTTTTTTTTTTTACTGCAATAGTCAATAGAGAACCACGGTGATGTCAGTAAAGTAGGACTTTTGCCCCTCTGCCTCTAGCTGTGCTCCCTACCCAGTCATGGGATGGGAAGAAGTGGGGAAGCAGGTGGAAAAGAGCAAAGGAGCATCAGTGGTCCTTCCTCCATTGCAAGTTCTCAGTCGATTCACATTCTTCCAACTTCTGTATGATAACACTTATTCTAGCCCTTCATTGATTTTGTATTATTTAATCCTTTTGTAGTATAATTGAATATACAGTTAAATAACAGTCCTGATATCATTTATTGATTTTTTGTGCATGTGAGAATACTTAAAATCTACTCTCTCAGCATATTTCAAGTATACAATGCCTACCACATTGTTAGCTATAGTGAGCATGCTATTCATTAGATCCTCGGAATTTATTCATCTTATAACAGGAAGTTTGTGCCCTTTGGCCAATTTTTTTCCATTTCCTCCACCCACCCATTCCCTGGTAACCACCGTTGCACTCTCAGTTTCTATGAGTTCAGCTTTTTTTTCTTTTTTTAGATTCCACATGTAAGTAATACCATATTATTTGCCTTTCTTTGCCTGGATTGTTTCACTTAGCATAATGCCCTCCAGATTCACCCATGTTGTCACAAATTACCCTGCCCTTTTTGTATAAGAAAGTTCCTGGGAAGTAGAAAGAAATTATAGAAATAAAAAAAAATTGTTAAATAAAAAATTAATCATATTTTAGTCATATATAACATATTAACATAGTCATGTCAATATTTCAGAGCACTTATTGTAAGCTAAGTATTCTTCTAAGTGCTTACCATTTATTATGCCATTTGCTATCCAGAATAATAGTAAGTTACGAATCACCGTTAACTTATTTTGGAGCTAGGACAAGGACTTGGACTTAAGTAATTGATACCCGTTGGTGCTATTATGTGAGGTGTTACTGAGTGTACTCTTTTATGGCATTTAAAGTTTTCCAGCTGACAAAAGGTTTGGCAATGCTGTCCAACACAGTGGCCAATAGCCACATGTGGCTACTGAGCACTTAAGATGTGGTAAATCCAAATTGAGATGTGCGGTAAGTATAAAATACATGTTGGATTTAAAAGACTCAGGACACAAAAAAAGAATCTAAAATAGCCATGCATAATGTTTTACATTGATTACATACTGAAATAATATTTTAATATGTGGGGCTACATAAAATACATTATTAAAATTAATGTCACCTGTTTCTTTTTATTTTTTATTGTGGCCACTAGAAAATTTTGATTATATATGTGGCTCACATTTGTGGCTCACATTATATTTCTATTATCCAGCACTGCTGTAGACACTCATATAGTTTAGGTCCTAAGTAGGTTCTTTGGTGAGCATTAAGGTTTCCCTTGCAACTGAAGCATTTTCCACAATCTTCACAACAAAATGTTTTCTCTTTCATATGGATCTTCTTATGACCATGCAATGTAGAGTAATGAATGAATCTTTTGTGAAAGCTATCATACACGTATGGTTTCCCTCCTGTGTGGATTTTTCTGATGAACACAGAGGTCTCATCATTGCATAAAGTCTTTCCCCTAAGACCCTCTCTCCTATCTGTGTTCTCTGGTGGAGGTCAAACAGATTTAAATTTCCTCACATACCCTACATTGGTACTGTGTCAATTTCATGGTACTCTATGGCCAGTTAATCCCACTGGGACTCAATAAAATTAAAAAGTAATTTTAAAAAACGCTGGAATGAACTGTAGTTGCCTTGGGAAGATCTCATTGCATGACATCTCTTTGAGCTCTCCTTGAGAATAGAGGTGCTGTTCACATTCTTCTGATGAACTTCCTTCTCTAGTGATACTCTGAGTTTCTAGAATCCTCCTCCTCTAACACTTAGGAAAAAAGATACCTCAACATCCAAACTTTTAGAATAAATTCCTTCTTCATACCACTCACTTTCACAGAATCCAAACCATTCTGTAGCTGAGGATACTGGATTTTTAAGGAATGGTGTCTTCCAGTGTATCTTTCAGATCTTCACAGCCCTTCACGCTTCCATTTACAAAGTCCTGGAGATTGTTCCACATGAAAATAATAATTGTCCTATTACCAATTTATTAAGCATCCACTCCTCAGTATGAATGTCTGGACTTAGTCATAGAGGGAAAGCTTACAGGGACCCCTCAGAGCTTCAGGACAGTCTGACTCCTCCAAATACAAAAATTTGCTAATGCTAACACACCAGGCCTCAGGGTTGCAGTCTTGCTTTTTGAAAGATAGTTCCTTGGAATAATACAAACCCCTATGGCTCTGACCCAGGCCAATGCCTAGATGTTTGGTATACAATACCATGAAATTTCAGGTCTGTAGCTATATTTAGCAGATAAATTCTCATCATCAGGGTGAGTGAACAGTTTCCAGGTTGCAGTATCTGGCTGCAACCTGTCATAGGCAGCTGACTTTGGTCTGCATTGTTCAGACGATCACTACATGTTCAGAAGCATCCTCGTCTAGATTCTAGCCTTCAATACTTATGCAACTGGAAATCAGCTCTAATGTCTGATTTAAGCTAAAATGACTCCATTTATATAAACCTGGAGAAAGTCCAGGCTGCACCTAGTAACCACATAAGGTCACTTCTCTTGGGTCCAATGATTAGTTTAAATGGTATTCATTTTAGATGATCAGTGTTAATTGAATTTCTGGCTGAATTTCTTCCAAGAAATATGGATTCATTAAATACAGGCATACCTCAGAGATAGTGTGGATTCAGGTCCAAATCACCACAATAAGAAGGGTCATAATCTTTTTGCTGGTGGCGGAGGGGCTTGTCCTCAATTTGTAAAAAATCACATTTGTAAACCACAATAAAACGAAGTATGCCTATAATCCTTTTTTTGTACATGAAACTAGATTCGTTTTCATTTTCTAATGATTTGTCATATGACTGGAGTTTTAGAGAGGCAGATAACAGACCTATAATTTTAATGAACATGGGCCACCCACTCCTTTACGAAAGCAGTAGAATCCCAGAGAAAAGCACACACATCATATTTGCATTGAATTCCAGGAAGTTCACAGAACCACAAGCTGACAAATGAACTTCAGTTTTTCAACTTTTGAGTTAGCTCTTGCTTGGTCTTATTTATGGATCCAGATTTTACTGTGTGAATAATTGAGTCCTTACTATATTTTAAGTAAGAGTGCAGTATTACTAGATTATGATTTTTGAAAGATATGGTATCAATCAAATCACATACAGAACTATTCAAATAAGAACACATTTGCCTTAAATTCAATTGAATAACTATTTAAATTATTTAAACATTTCAAGTGGGTTGAGAGGGCAAACCACTTAACACCTAGGAGACTTAACAGCCTCATCTGAAAAATCAGAATTCTAAGAATAAGTAAGCCCAGCTTTTGGGTTGTTTTAAAGAATAAATAAAAGTATGTCAATAAAGTACCTGGTTATTTTTTCAAAAAGTTGTGATAATCTAATACATGTAACTGTACCATAAAGATTGTAATGCTCTTTACTCTTTAATCATTCAGTTAATGAATAATTAAGCCTTAAATAACTATAAACCCACCGTAATTTCTATTATATTCCATCTCTCCTCACAAAACCCTCTTTTTCTTGTTTTCAAGCCATTGCTACTCTGAACCTAAGATCTGCTCTTACGAAATTAAATATTTTTATTGAATTCTGTATGATTGCCAGAAGAGATTATAACAGTTTGAATAGTGCTGAAAATCAAAATAATGATTTAGAAGAAAACGTAATGATTGAAAAAGCAAAAGTCAAAGAAAGGGTAGAAGAACATTTTACTGAACTTAAATCTTCGAATTGAAAAGATTATTACCAAGTACTACACAAGATACCTGAAAAAATTAATTGCTAGAATTTCTCAAATCCAAAGATACACAGAAAATCCTATGGATTCTCAGATATTTAAAGGACATCTCTAAAATAAAGACCATTAAACCGATATCATTTCTAATTTGGCATGAGAATTCTCACCTGCAACACTGACTGAACCAATGTACATTGAATTATCAGGGAAAGGTTTATGTAACTTAATCTAAACCTACCCACAAAATACTGAGAGGAAAGTGTAAAGACAAAAGAAATATTTTCAAACTAAGGCTAAAAATTTTTCTTAAAGAAGTTCTCCAATTAAAAGATAATGCATGATGATTGCAAAATTTTGTAAATACACTAAAACTGTTGAGTCGTACACTTTTAAAGGGTGATTGTAC